CATTTGTTGATAGGTACATTGTTTTTGTCATTTGTTGATAGGTACATTTTTGGTCATTTGTTGATAGGTACATTGTTTTTGTCATTTGTTGATAGGTACATTTTTGGTCATTTGTTGATAGGTACAATGTTGATCATTTTTTGATAAGTACATTGTTTTTTTTCATTTGTTGATAGGCACATTGTTGGCCATTTGTTGATAGGTACATTGTGGGCCATTTGTTGATAGGTACATTATTGGTCATTTGTTGACAGTGCATTGCTGGTCATTTAATGATAAGTACATTTTTTGTCATTTGTTGATAGGTACATTGTTGTTGTCATGTGTTGATAGGTACAATGTTGATCATTTTTTGATAAGTACATTGTTTTTTTTTCATTTGTTAATAAGTACATTGTGGGTCATTTGTTGATAGGTACATTGTGGGTCATTTGTTGATGAGGTACATAGTTGGTATCTGTTGATAGGTACATTGTTGGTCATATGTTGATAGATACATTGTTGATCATTTGTTGATAGGTACATTATTGGTCATTTGTTGACAGTGCATTGTTGGTCATTTATTGATGTGCACATTGTTAGTCAGTGGTTGATAGGTACATTGTGGGTCATTTGTTGATGAGGTACATAGTTGGTATCTGTTGATAGGTACATTGTTGGTCATTTGTTGATAGGTACATTGTGGGTCATTTGTTGATAGGTACATTATTGGTCATTTGTTGACAGTGCATTGTTGGTCATTTATTGATGTGTGCATTGTGGGTCATTTATTGATAAGTACATTGTGTGGTCATTTGTTGATGTGTGCATTGTGGGTCATTTATTTATAGATGTATTTCGGGTCATTTGTTGATATGCATTGTGGCCATTTGTTGACAGGTGTATTGTTTGTCATTTGTTTATATGTGCATTGTGGGAATTTTGTTCGTTCGTTGATTATTTATTTATTTATTTATTTAGGTTCATTTGTGTATTCCGGGTCGTTCGACAGTGCACTGTATGTTGTTTATTCATAGGTGCCTTGCGGTTCATTTATTCATAGGTGTATTGTGGGTCATTCAATAATAGGTGCACGTGGGTCATTCGATAATAAGGGCAATGTGGCGTGATGGATGTGAGTAGCTGTGATTTTACTCCAAATAGTCCTTTAATGAATATGTGTAATTTTCGCGATGTAATTCCAAACCCATTTTTTTTAACTCAATTCGAAAATCATATTAAAAAATCAGAAGGTTCGAAAAGTTACCACCAAAAAAATAATAAAAAGAAAACAGGACTGTAATTTATATGTACCAACATCCGTTTCTGGTTTTTAAGTCATTTTTTTCAATTTTCTAACGTGTTTTCCATCGTTTGCCTGATTGCATTCTGCGACTGAAGACATCAAAACAACACAATCCCACGGACTGTAGTGGAGTACAAAGACTGAGTGGTACAACTGACTGAGCTCTTAATGTGCTGCATAGCCAATTCATATGATTTGCATGTAAATTTGATAAATAGAAACTCGCGGAAAGATGTGACATTTTTGTACCAAAAGATCCTGCCTGTTTAATTCACCGAATCGAATTTAAGAGGTATTGATAAGAGTCTTATTAGCAGTAATAAAAACATAGGATGAACAACGTCAATTGGAATGCACTGGGTTAACGACAACGTGGTAACGATAATACTTTTGTGAACAAAATCTGGTGTCAATATCAGAACCCCCCAAAAAGCCACGAATCGGTCTGTTCAGCTAACTGAAATGAGGTGATGATAGTAAGAGTCCCAATTCAGGGTGTTTTCCATTGTCCTCAACACTGCCGCGATTATTTTTTGTTCTCGGGTCAGCTTTTTACTACGTCCGTGCTGGAATTAATACAGTCCCAAGTCAAACGTCACATTGTTGTCAAGAAATTTACACACGTGTAGAAGCTTTCGTAGCAGACTATTTTCTGACTGTGTACTTTTCGAAAATCGCCACTCTATGTCTCTAAAAACTATTTGTAATTGTACAGTTTCATTTTAACAATGGAGAAGATGAAATACGCCATAGATATTTTTTCTCTTTCTCAGTTTTGCTTGCGATAGAAAATTTTAACTCTATGCATAATCCATTTAATTATTTATCTGACAACAAGAGATCGCACTTTGACTGGCAAACACGAGTTTATCATCCTCCCTCCAGACATACAAGCGGACGAGAATTTGCGATGCTGAGAAGTGATGTATGACCTGTAACCGTTGTGCAAACAAGAACAATGCCATCAACGGCGCAGACGTCGAGCATGCGGAGGAAAGGACTGTGAACATACTCGTGGATTGTTGAATTGGAATATTTTTCTGCATCATCTAATGTTTGTATTTATCAACTAAAATGACGTCACACTAACTATTTATTTATTGAGAGCTATTACTGTTATTTCTATACTTTTATTTCACAAACTATTGGCCACAGGCTGATTTGAATGACGGGAAAACTACATACACTCTAAGAGTCACACGCTTCTGCAAAGCGACCCCACGCGAATCGTGAGATGATTCGATCCCACACTCCAAAGTGATATAAAACAGTGCCTTGTGGAATATCTACCTTTCCCAATTAAGGATAGACTTATAGTTTACTTGGTTTGAATTCGCTTTAAAGTGATTACTAAAATAAAGCAAATGCTCACCCTTCGACCGGCTGCGTTGTTGTGTTTATTCATGTAGTATCGCAGATCTCTTCCCTTTTCGCCTGCATCTACGAATTTTCTGGAGAAATTGGAACCAAAATCAGCATTGTCACTGCAGCCTCCCCATTCCCAGCCTTTCCCGCCTTTGCCACGTTTCTCGTAATCACAGTTACACGTCTCGATACTGCCCTCGCTGCAGGACCTCGCTACTGAATGGGCGACTGCGCTCGCAGTTATTGCATAGATAAACGCTGTTTCACGGCAACCTGCAAAAAGGAGTATGTTACATGGGTAGAATCAGAGTCAATTTCAGATTTATTTGTGTCTGTTAGTTTTAAAAAAATAACAAAACTCCAATACGTTCATGAAAATATGTGGGAATATTATCAACATAGTTTTAATGCGAAAATTGTAAAAACATGGGTAATATTTCGACAAAAAGATGGATGACGCCGGCCTATTATAGTTGTGAAGTGTGAAAATGAATTTAAATCAGACAATTTCAAGTAAGACATCCTAGTAGTGTAATCTAATATAATTTGTCTCTCTGTGCAGATATATTGTTAAAACTTTCCCTGTACACGAAAGCTTCAGGAGTCATTTTTGTCATACTGCCATACTGTAATTCTATTAAGAAATTGTCAATCATGTCACAACTGTGTCATAAATTGTATTCTTCAGATACAACTCTTTATATTTTATTGTTGATGTAACCGCGAAGATACTGCGCAGGGGTCGTTGCGCATTACGTCATAGCTGTTTAATAATTCCACGTTCGAATAATAAAATTCGCAGTTAACATTTGGAACATTTTTTTTGTCAAATAATTCCCGCCAAAATGTGTGCAAGTTTTTTCAAGATGCATGAACAATAGTTCACATTATTGCCACGAATTGTGTATTCAGATAATCTGCCGTCAATACCACGGAGGAATGAATTAAAATGTATTTGTGTCTAACCAATTTTCTAATCTTATTTTATATCATTTTGTTTCGAGGTGTAATTTCGACATCCACTTGAATGACGTCACCGCCCTCATAAACTCGAAAGCCAATCAACTTCATCGGTGTGGGTTGATTAACTAATTAGTTACCTAAATGATTAAAGTAAATTCAAATTAACGAGTCAGTTCGATTCTTTTTTTTTCGAGCAGCCTAGCTATACATCACAACATGTGTTATTTTTCAACGATTTTAATTCTATTAAATTTTATTCTATTTAATCTACGTTGGTAAGTAGCAATGGGCATCGGAGTTATATTATTTATTTATTTTCTTTACTCGGACGCACGTATTTGTATGCATGTTCTTACCATGGTCACAATGTTACATAACGCAGCATTTCAATTTTAATTAAAATAGTTTGTGGTTTGTACTTAACGCCGAGACATTAACAGCCATATAATATGATAGACGAAATTAGATTTATTTCAGACTTTTTTTTGTTTTACCGCTCCTTGTCTGCTATATATAACCGTAGTAAAAAATCAGTATTACAGACGAAGTGAAGGTCTGACAGTTTGTTGCTCTCCAGTGTATACGAGCAAAGGCCCCGCTTAAGTCGCCATGGATTCTACGCTAACCACAGCAAAGACGCCGAGTAGCGTTTTATGGTGCAGTATTTCTTTAATTTTACTCTTACTGTGGACATTAAACATGTTACGGAGTAAAAATAGAACTGCTTGAGAGTGACATTGAGAAAAGGTCGTCGCCGTAGTCTTACAATAAAATATAAACTTTTATTTATTTATTTATTTATTTATTTATTTATTTATTTATTTATTTATTTATTTATTTATTTATTTATTTATTTATTTATTTATTTATTTATTTATTTATTTATTTATTTATTTATTTATTTATTTATTTATTTATTTATTTATTTATTTATTTATTTATTTATTTATTTATTTATTTATTTATTTATTTACTTATTTGTATATTTGTTATTTATTTATTTCATTAGTTAGTTAGTTAGTTAGTTAGTTTCCTTATTTTTTGTTTAGGTTATAGTAAGCAGCATTCATTTTTTTAATAATTGAACAACAAAAAGCAATTCCATTTTGTACATGTTTCCGCCATGGTAAGCCAGGATCCGAACCTGAGAAAATAACGAACATTAACCACAGCAAGTATAAACATCCTATGAGTTTATCAATGGGAAGGTCACTTTCTCGGTCGATTTCTCATGGGGATACGAAAGCGTGTTGCATTTTAAGCCCATTCTGTCAATTATACATACAGAATAACAATTATATTGAAAACATTATGATATATGTTGAACATGTATGTCGTCTATGGTGACGACTACGCTCAATGTAATCACTATTTTCTCAAAATCGAAGAAATGGGCGAAATATACACCATTTTCACCACTAAAATGAATCTTGATAATACTATTTCATCAGGCAAAGACACTATGTTCTGCATGATTTGTGTGCCATATTATCGTTAACAGAACGGACACAAATGTCGTACCGCCACAGGAAGCCTTAAAACACGGAAGATTCGTTCTAAATAGATCCGGTCGTGAACTTCAAAACAAACTAAATAAAAAGAAGACTACAACAAAAACCAGACCGCAAATGACATTGACCTAGGGCGAGGCATATTAACAGGAAGTTGATTGGTTCGTGTGACTATGTTGGTACCGTTGGCTCGAATAAAGTGAAACTTTGGAATAAGGATCGAGTTGGAATCAGTAATCAGTTGAATATCCAATACCAGCGCAACTAGTTCGCCTAAATTACAATTTACATAATTCTGAATCTGTCATCCTGCGGGTGTCAATGGAAGGTAATATTATAGAATGAAGATTGAAGAAAATACACACGTAGTTTGCCGACCAGTAGAACCAAAATAGCAACTTTTGCTGCGTATGTTGGTCAACAGTTACAACTGCAGTGTGTCCCTAGGTTAACACAGAGGAAACAATGGTTTATATCATAAAATAATCGTGTTACATTATTTATGCCGTTCTAACTAGTTTCACCGTAACAATCAAGGCGTTTTAGTGTGCCACCAATTGTGAGTACGCTGAATAATTCGATTAATTAAAAATGAAGGTGGTGTTGCTTAGGTGTGAACGCTTAAACGATTTCCTCGGCCCTAACATCAAGTTCAGTGTAATCCTGTTTACGAGCATCGATCGAATTTAATTGTGTCTACTTCGATTTAATTTGATTTTATTTCGGTTAATTTAATTTAATGTCTCCAGCTGCATTGTATTTGTTAAAGTGTGGATGAGTTAACCTAACGAAACGAACAACAAGTAAATAAGTTAGTTAAGCAAGTAGGTAAAGAAGGAAAACAAGTTTTGATTGGACCCCGCTGGCGAAGCTACTCGTTCACGGCTCATGTTCTAACCGAAACCAGATATGTCTACATCGGGTCGTTGATCATCGTGCTATAACAGCGTAAAAAATGTGCATATATGGTTTTTAAAGTTTATTTTTTCTTTGTTTGCTAGAATGGAATACTGGCCGTAGCAGCAAGCATATACGAGTTCCGCTAAAATAATCCAATGCGATTTTACTTTAGTAACGAAGGAGACAAAACAAGACTTACTACGTAGGTTAAACACATTCAGTTTCGAACAGACACTGGAGACATTTTTTTCTGTGGAAAGATCTCCGTTTTATGTCTACACAGGTTCGAACGAGTTACAGACTGTTTGGGATAATTAGATTTACATGAATTTTGAAAAAAAAGGAGTACAATGGTTATGTGTTACAAATTTTTTAAATTCGCCATTTCATATAAAAAAAATAAGACAATGCCCTATCGCGCAATACAAAAATACCAGTCGTGACTAATACTCGGTTATCCAATCAAAGTTTGATTTGCGTTACTGACAAGGTGATGAAATCAATACGCTAGTAGTAATAATACCACGATGATTGGACTGGCAAAATTCTAAAGGAAAATTTTAAAAAATCAACATCATAATCCACTGTATAGTCCCTGTAAACGAGGGATTGTCTTAAATGGGTCTATTTCACGGCGGATTCTAATATTTAAAAATTAAACATTCCTATAACGTATGGATTCTGTACTCAATCCGTTTATCCTATAGTTAGTTCGTGTACACGGTTTCACCATGTTCGCTGTTATTTTAATTCAATTGCACTTTATTAATACACGGCAGTTCTATGTGTTAATTAATTGGAACCGGGCTGTACCTTTTCCAGTTTATTGTCCGTCAAAACAAATTTAACCCAATGTCCTCACTTTCCGCTTATAATGGCGGTATTTATGCATGCTTTGGTTTGTTGTGTCACGTGTTTTGAAATGTCTATCATCAATATACTTGATTTCGTTTTACATTGAGCGTAAAGAAACAATAGAGTGTTTGGATAGTAATTTAGCAGTATTCCACACTCACTGTCCCTGAATGCAATTTGCAAAGTAACGTGCGCTAATAATAACAACTTAAGCCAAATCGGCGGATGCTAAAACCACAAATCTGCGGAAATGGCCGCCGCGTGGTAATAGACCACGTACCGCTGATACAACAATGTTTTATTGTGATCCTGTTAAAACATCGCTACAAATGAAGAAAACAACAATATCGTTTCTTGGTGCGTGTTTTGACCACTCTATCGGCGGCATATATATAGCTGTTGTCATAATGACGTCGTCGTAGCAATAGGGGACCTTGTCAATCCCTTTATAATCGAATGTCATAAACACCCCCCTTACCGTGTAAAAAACCTTTTTGGGGGCTCTTTTGTCAAGTCGACACAAAGTTGCTCTTTAAAAGTTCGCCCTTTGGGCGGGTAAAATTGAAAACGTGAACGACTTAAAAACACAATACAGGAAAAGCCAGCTGCCCAAGAGCTAGTCTGACTGCTGTCAGGGAGGGAACGATTTCATAAATTTCGACAGAGAAAAACTGCCCGTGAAAAAATTGGCGTAAACCAACGACCAATTCGAAAGAGGGGTTTGTAAATGCCTGTCAGGCTGATACGCCTGTAAACGCAAAATATTGGACGCGAGCGAGGTTGTATGAATCGCTGTTATCCACTGTTTCCAACACTTTAATTGAGTTAACAACAAAAGCAATTTAAACAAAATTGAACTTTCAAAATAGTTTTTTCTTTGTAACGCAGAAGTCATGCACTATGAGATTAAAGTGGGTTTTTAGCTATCATTCACCCATTAAACACGCTCAAATAACCCGTCCTTGCAAATTCCGATCGCAGACAATTGTGTTGAGTCTAGAATGCTAGCCTACAACGTGTCGAGATCTGACTACATACTGGACAAGGCGAGACTGAGACGAAAGTATGCCCGGTATCATTGCTTCCCAAGTTGTATAAGGCGTCAATGAAACCCAACACGGTCCACTTTAGGTCAAATTTTATAATATCTGTCTGTATATAAATGGATGCATTAAATGCCGAGTTCAGAGATGTATAATAAAAGTGTGTTAGAATAAATATGAGTTGGAAAAAAAACTTGTTACAAATAAAATCCACCTGTTGCTTCTAAACTGTGTTCGGTTAGTGAGTTTGAGATACGTACTTACCGCTTTCGAGAATGTTCCCAAATAAATTTCGTCCTCCCCTGTCATTTTTATTTGTGGGACAGTTCCACCTCCTCTCTTTAAATTGCCATTTGCATTCGGTCTTTGACATCCCAACAGAGTTGGTTATTGCAGAAAGAGAGCCAGGGTGTAGTCGAATCAGTTTTCTCTGTTTCTTGTTTAAAGGTGTCTGGTCGACGACGACTGGCACACCGGCGCGGTTGACAACCAAGTTTGACTTCTGTTGCGAGGAGGCAACTCCCCTATAGTCAAGAAAACGTGGTATTGAACATAGAAAATAAAACCAAAATGAAATGGGAACGGTTGAAAGCTAAAGTATACGAACTCTGACGATCTGGCACATGATCCAACACGTGAACCAAGTGTTCGTATAATCTGTCATTTTACCCGTCTTAGTACGAAGCATGGTTGATTTTCATCGAACCGTGTGAACAACGATCTGACATAAGATACGCCGTTATAGCTAAATCCCATTGATACATGACAGTCTCCGATACCAATGCTACTACTTCGGTTCGCTCAATGTGTATACCCTACCAAATATTTTCGTATCGAGTTATACAATCCACGGACAGGCTCAACCATAATCGGTTGGCACAAAAAAGTGACTTGCATGACAAAATACGCATACTCCCGTGAAGTTTGATAGCAACAAAAAAGAGTGGCTTACAAAACGGAAGATCGAATCAATATTGGATGAGGGGAGCATCACTCACGGTCAGACAGCCGCAACGCATGTTACAATTACGGGTACTTCCCCCCAAATGAGACATAGATATAGTAGGAATAAAAGAGTGTGTGATAATTACATCTAGAAGTGTGAATTTATGAACGACTCAGGTACGTATACGAGCTCAGTACAAGGTGAGTTAGAGCGGTGATAAACATATGGCGCTGTAATCGATGTAGCTGTACTCGGACATTCCGGTTATACCCGTGTATGAAAGTATCAACACATATTCTTGTAAAAGATCGTCAATACACTTACCACCACTTGCCAGTCGTGGTACCTTGTGCCTTTCCAGTTCCCAAACTTAATGTCGGGTAGAGACAAATAATTATCAAATAGCAGAATTTCATAATGGAGAATGTTCCACAAATACGGGCACGAAAATTCGGAAAACCGCACACGAAAATAAGCCCGGGTTTAGAAATCAGGATCAAGTCCAGGATACGAGGTATGATGGCGCAGACAGCTACTCGGTTCCACGCAACTCAGTTACGCTTGCTGTGTACATTTTCTTATAAGTTGCTATTTCGCTGTATAATGGATTCAGTGAGCGTGTCAATCACTCGGTATTTGTATAGAGGAACAAAAGTGGGTGGGAAAAGAAGAGCGTTCAACATTCATATGCCATTCAGCGAATTGCAATTGTATCGTCTAATAAGCCGCAATTTAACATATTGGAATGACAGACTCCATAAATCACTCGTGTCGTCACCCGTTCTGACGGGGTCGTAAGATGCGTGCGACACCGCGGTTCGACGTGTGTGGCAGTGCTACCGACACTGCCTCCTCATCTCCGCCAATACAATGGGTAAAAATACAAGGCTGTTTGCGGCGATTTTTATGTTTGCGTACTTTTCAATCCATGGAGTAAACCGCATATAATATTGCCGTACGGACAGTAATGTGTACGTGTTTGGCTTGTTTTGAATACATTGGTGAACGAACAGGTAGACATACCGAATATACTCCACATACAATATAGGTAGGGCATTGCATAGCTTTCATAACGGGCAAAACAAACGTAACAAAACCATGTATGCTATAGGAAATGAACGCATTGAAAGTGACACTAGTGTTTGTTGCATAAAATCGCAATACCCACCCCGATCTATCGCTTATCTTTGTCCTAACGCAAACCGTAACGCTAAATAAGTAATCGATACGTCCCTCCCACCTTTCGTAGCACATTCATCGACGGCCCCGTCTCCCACACAAAGTGATGCCTCATTTTAAAAATATTTTTTTTCCGGAATCACCTGAAACGTTCAAATGTTTGAGAAGGGGAACAAAACAGAGTATCGGTATGGACATTAATTGCGGTGCCGCACACGTGTACACAGCTTCAAACTATACACATCGGCTTGTAACAAGACATTGATATCTCAACGGGAACGCTCTTGAATAATTTTCGTATGAAAATGATAAAATTGATTCATTCCCGGAAAAGTTAAGGACGTCGTAAAATGGGTTAATAAACGGACGATAAAACCTCCTCACTTTCCCATTCCACCGACGTGCCGCTGATTCCCAAGGATAACAAGCATGTGCGCTTGCGCCGTTATCGCGGTCGTGAAACGGCCTTGGCATGATCGCGGAAGTGGTTGTCTTGATTGTGGCGACAACTGTGGTCGTTTAAACGGCGAGCGCCAGTGCCTATTTGATTGAACATTTCTGATTTCTGAAATTAATGGGAAGAAATCCATAAAATTCACCTAAAACTATATGATACTGTCTTTAGGGAAACAAGTCAAGGAAATCTTTGCGTAGGTGTTTCTCACCAGACCACACGTTTACAGTCGTAGTAACATGTCACTTACACAAGTTAATTTATTTTTATATAATTTATTTTTAATTAGCGATATCCCGTCACTATCCCAATGCACACATTGTACTTATCTGTCGCCTAAGCGTGTACTACTGTAAATGCATTAATTATTCACTGGGTTTTAATTTCGCTGTTTTCACTGATAAGTAAGATCTACATGAACAAGAACATGTAAAATAAAAATAAAACTCATAGATTCCTTGACAAATTCGTGAATTAAACACAGTGAATATGCTCATAACATCACAATAGTGAAATTAAATGTCAGTGAACATAAATGGTTTTACAATATCTTGAACTGTACCACAAGTTGTTTACAGTTTGTTTGTATGTATGTGTGTGTGCGTCCGTATTCCAACATTCAATACGCGAAAAAAAGTCATTCAGCCTGGGATATCAGCTCAACGCACACACTCATTTCAAATTTCACCATTTTAAAAGGTTATATTTTATTTCCTCATTTTCTTCTCAAAGGTCAACTAACCGCCTGAGATTATAGGCGTCGCTTCTACTTTGTGTTTACAGAACAGTTTCCTCCAAATGGGTATTACGTCAGAGTGTAATGCAAATTACAGCTTTAATTGAAAATATATTACTTTCGTTTCTATGTAAAACGAGTTGCTTAGTTAGTTAGTTGCCTCTTGAAACAGCTACATTATTATAGTGGTAATCTTTGAGAACACGTGTAATTGTTTTGTGTAGAAAATAATCACGATATGTAATGACGGGGCGTGCGTTCGAGAGATGATTGCCCTGCATGATTATGAAGCGCGTGCTCATTCCTGTCCTAGTAATGGTCACCTGGAAGTAGTTTGCTCATCACAATCGCACGACTCTCGGGCCGAGAGGGGGTGGACTTAGCTGGCTGAGCGTGTTCGCAAAATCTATAAAAAAAAGAGACACTTTAAAAAACTGGCCTATGTCAAGCAGGAGGACGAGACAACCATAAAGTGTGTTGGCAGTGGAAAGTGTTCTTTTGGAAGTTCCATCTGAACCAAGCGAATCAATTGTATCAAGATATTCGAACAGAATGAGAATACAGCGTATATTCCTTCTGATTCTCTGAAATAATGGTGTTTTGCTTTTTCAAAAAGTCTGCATTTTATCAAAGGGGGGGGGGGGTAAATTTGTATTTAAAAATCAGTGAGAAATCAGTGGTTGTTTTTGATTTCGTGGAACAGTCATTTGCCCCACCAATACCAGCAAAGTGTCCCCCGGGCTCCGGTGTTTGACCCCAAACTTTATTTTGTACCCAGACAGTTCAAAGCCTGACAATGATAGCATATAACCGTGTGGCCTTATTAATAGAATTGATCTAATTGATATTCTAGGAAACTTTCAAAATTGGTTGTAATTGGCTGTAATGACTTATCTGGAGTTTCCAATTTTCCAATATCACTGCCGCCATTTATAGAAACTGACAAAGCACAAAACAAAACAGAAAACAATAACAAATAAAGTATCGATAGCGCTTGCATGAAAAAATAAACAAATCACGGATATAAAATGGTTTAAACGAAGACTGTTTTGCTTCATATCAAATTATATCTATTGGCAAACCCAAATTGTAAAAGCTGTGTAGCTGGACTTCCGTAATAGACTAGTATACATCGTCGTCCCTTGTGATGTCGATTCAACCAACGCAATATCCATTGCTCATATGCTAAAATAGTCGATACGGATTATCCAATTAATTAGTCAATCAATCAATCAATCAAATGAGAAACTAATCAAACACACCCATAACGCCCAAAAAAACACCCCTCACTCACACTCGCAGTAAATTACTAGTAGTACTAGTGAGGACGTGGCATTTGTCACAAAAACATGTCATGTTTTATGCCATGGAAACTACCCGGTACGTTTGCCGCATGCCTGTGTCATACACAGATGTAAAAACTTGTGTACTGTCACTCTCAGTTCATCTAAAAACTTCAAGAAATAACATGAAAGAATTTTCAATTTGTTCAGACCCTGCTTAATTATTGCTGATAAATAGGACCATGATCACGGACGAGCGTCCCGTGTCTTCTATCTATAGCGGCGTTGCTAAACAACATGGCTAATTACAACATGAAATGAGCTACAACTGATTGAACAGTTCAGAAAGGTGCTAAAGCAATTGACAAGACGAGTAACACTGACTCCAATTTTTATTGTCGCAGGCTTTTCGCACGTATGGTCGACCCGGTCTTCCCTCTGTTCGTGTCGGCGCTCTGTGCGGTGGGTGCCAGAGAATAGGAGACGCGTAGCCGATTTTCACCTACCTGCGAAAAAGCCAAAAAACAGAGAGTCAACGAAATTCCCACGGGTTCATTCACAAATGTCACAAAGAACCCCACAATAAAATAAAACAAATCAACACAGAGAAGTGTTGTGCGTTAAGTTAAAAACACGGTCGTGTTTCTAAGTCTTTGTTATGAGGACAGTTTCAGTAAGTACAGATACCGCGGAAACACCCGGCAGCATTAATACCTTGTATATCGAAGAATTTGAAATATGATACATGAGTAGTCCACGCAATGCAACACATACAGTGCAGTGTTATATTATCTACACTTACAAATCTGTCCGAGGTATTAGCCTTATGATCTCAACTAGCGTCACTTGATTGAGTCTAAAGATTTCACTTTACACCCTGAGTATCTGACGTTGCAACATGCTATATGATAGCGCCACACATTTTAAGTCATGCTTTCTCTTGTCGGTGCTCTCACAAAACTGGTTATGCTCCCTGGGTAGGGCGGGGGTCTCTGAATAAAATATGGTACGCAAGCTGAAGTAAAAAAAAAAACGCGTAAAAAAGGGTTAGTTATTTGACGCGTGTACCGTGTTTATGGAACTCGAACCCAGGTGTAACTTAGAATAGAATAATAAAGTGTGAAAAAAATGAATCTCATGAATTCATGTTACCTCAACTTGGAAACATTATGATTTCAGTAAGTATATAGGGCGTCTATTTAAAGTTTCTGCACTTGAAACGGGGTATAATTTCACAAAAATAAATACGTGTTTAGAGGCTATTTTTAAAAGCTATACTTCAGCATGGGTACCAGGTCTGACTTGGAGTCCCCCCGGATTATGCTATAGATTGCATCATTTCAAGGGAACCAGCCAGTCGACGCCAGACAGATTTTACGGGAGGGTTTTCGTAAACTCTTGCGAAATTCTTCAATGATACAAAACTCGAAAAATGAAAGTCCACTAATTCAAAGGATCTGAAGTTACTAGTATGCTAGAGTTATAGCACATCATTTAAGTGCGTATCATGATGATGTGTACTGAGTTTAATACCTTCTACCACACACGTCGAGTGGTTATGACGAATCTGTTTCAAGTCAGCCGTCAATCTTAATAATTTTTGTACAGGCAAAAGTAAATTCAAAAGTAGTCGTTGTTTAGTGGAAGTTCTAATTTTGTATAAGCACCGTACACGCGCTGTATATGGGACTTACGTCACATACTAGTACACACTTTGAATTATCAATACGAGAAGAACTCCACTATCAGAGAGAGGAAAGTTCGAGCCGAACAACGCCGTGTAGGCGGACGTTAATCGAACAAGGCGCTCGCAACCACTGTGCTGCTTTAAATTATGTGAATACTGATAAAACAAGACAAAAAGTCTATTTATTTATTTATTTA